ATAGTTTTCAAATATTTGTATTTAAGCGGATTACTCAATGCAGTTAGTCAGAATCACTGATCAACTCGGTGACTCTCCCTTTGGTTGGTTTTATTGATTCTTGGTCTATACTTCAGCAACGTTGTATTTTGGATCATTAGGCGACATAGTACTACTTCGCAGAACTACTCGATGATGTGCCAAGTTCTCCTTTTCATCGCCTATTTGATCCTTTCCTTCAAGGCTCCGCACACTAGAACAAAACGAGATCTTTAGGTCTATTGGCGACTCACCGAGTTGACACGGTGATCCCCAAGACTTCATATCTTCGTTATTTTCAACCTTTGTGTTACTTTTTGCCAAATAGTGCCCATGTTTTACCTCTAATTCGAAATACTTGAAACTCAAGGTTATTCATAAGTTATTGAGATAAAATAAACATTTGAGCACACTAACTCTATCAAAATATAGCCCTAAATGTGTAACAACCTGATTCCATCATTATGTAAAAGTCAATGAAGAAAGAATGGGGCCAAAAAATTTTTTTGGTAGTAACTTGGAATTCCTAGCCTAGTCAAGATTTGGACGAAATTAGAGTCATCAAGGTGAAGAAAAATATAGTAATGAATTAGAGATATAATTGTGAATTTGATTACTTTAGTGGATATTTAAGACGATCAAGGAATCCGTATCACTTTACGGAATCGAATTTGGACGAGTAGAACTCCCGAAAATGATCTTTTCGTGGAAAGATACATTATGTCCCCATTGAGGCTGTTGTAGCGGGATTCAGGCCGCTGGTGCGGCGCCACTACAGAGGGATGGATCCTATGGAGAAGTCCAGACGCAATTTAAAGTCACTTATAAACCCTAAAACAACCATGTTTTATCTTTTTTACTTTTAGGGCTAAGGAGTTCTTCGAAGTTTTCCACCATTTTGAGGCTAAAGGTAAGATTTTAACTCCTAGAATATATTTTTTGACTCGTAAAACTTGATTTCTCGGATGATTATCGATGAGAAAGGGTTTGATCTATAAAATAATGACAGAAAATCTCTAATTTGGGTATTAGGATCTTGGGTTTCGTCTAGGGTTATTGGGTTTGATATAATCTGAATAATTAAACATTTTATTGTTGATCCTTGCGTATATTAATTGTTGTAGACGTAGGATAAGCGGAAATAATCCAGAAATGGAAGCTTCAAGTGCTTTAGGGGATATAGCTTTGATTTGAGGTAGTTGATGTTTGTAATTTCATGTGGGTGTGATATATGTTTGTAAATTGCTTTGTTATAATACGTGTATAATGCGAATGTTGCATTATTGATCATCCTAATCGTAAAGGAGAATAATTAAAGAATTGTATGCCATGAATAAACTTTGATTGAATGCTCTTGATGATGTACTTATATATGTGATAGGGGTGTGTTGATGAGATCAGTTTTCCACGTTTCGGCAAGCTAATTCGAATCGGATTGCAATGTTTTGGCATACATATTGGATCGGGTTTCCACGTTTTTGCACAACTATGAAATCATTTTTCCAGATTTCGATAAGCTTATTGGGATCGAATACAATGTCGGTGCACTAACATTTTGAGTTTGGGTACCATGAGAAGACCATTGCATTGGGTTCCATGAGAGGACCATTGAATTAGGTTTCACGAGAGGACCTTTGAATTGTGTTGTGATCTACTTGTGATGATTACATTCATATATAATGATGATTGATATTGAAAGACTATTTGTTACTCTAAAAAGATTTGATTATATATTTTTGAGAATTGTGAAACTATTCGTTAATGTGAATGATGATGATATTGTATATGTTTCGTATATGCTTCTTTTATAATGTTGTGGTTACTTATATATTTTTCACTTAGTGAGATACCCGTGTGATCCTACCAGTACACTGTGGTTGTGTACTGATACTTCACTTGCTCTTATTTTTGTTGAGTACAAGGCATCTTCCGGCTTCTATTGACAGAACTTGTTTAGAAGATTAGTAACCGTTCAAATTCAAAGGTGAGCTAGTTCTTCCGGACTGCCTTGAGTTCTCTTTCTTTAAATCAACTCTTTTCGGACTCATAATATTTGTTAAGTTTTTGTTTGTTTCGGATTTTTACCCCTTGTTCTTAGATTTGTCTTTGGCAGAATTTTAGTACATTGAACTTCGGGTTCTAGGTATTTAATTTCGCATGTGTTAGTAATTAATTTATTTCCATAACTTAATTGTCTTAATTTTGGTTTAGTTGCTTAGTTTGGGTTGGTTATCCAAACGGATGGTTAGTGTGAGCGTCAATCACGCCGGTTTGGGTCATGACAAAATGAGTCCAATTTGTGGTCTCATCAACCAACCACTACCGTTGTTGCCGGCCATCACCACCATTTTGGTGGCAAATTAGTCCAAAAATTTTATCACATTTTCCTTCACCCCATTTACTTTGGTTCCTTACCAAACTTCATAGATCTAAGAAAAATCAAACACTAATCATCACTTTTTGTTTAGATTCATGAACTTTCAGTATCTCCATCCTATATCCTTTACATGAACGTGGACAGCTCTTCAAGAGATTTAATAAAAGTTTTATGCCAAAACTCCATCGAAAAGTCTTTTGACGAATTTTTCGGTAGCATTCATTCCCCTTAAAAAATCTGTATCAAGCTTTCACCCTCTCAACCTCTATCAAAATTTGACAGTATCATTACATATTTAACCATACAAAGTTATTTCATTGCCAGATTATGTATTTCGTATTAGTTTTTTTTTAAATTTAGTTTGCTAGTTTTGTTTGAATATTATTGATTTTTTTTTGATTTAATAGTGTTTGATCTTCAAAGTAGATTACATGTCTGACTTTTGTGTTAGTGCCTTGATTTACTTTTAAATTTTGGGTCTTGATGGGTAAAATCTAATGTGTTCTACATAATGGACCTATTTTTAGTTTTTTTTAAATGGTCCATTAAACTTTTATGCAATTAATGAAGAAGATAAATGAGACCCTCTAAAGGGAAATGAATTCATTTTCAATTATCTTTTCTTGAAATTAGTAAAAGGGAAAAAAATCGTAAGCCATTTCGAGTTGTACTTTATGAAGAAAAAAAGTTTCATTCATGCATTGATTTTAAGTTTTCAAGAACATTTGGTCTTTCATCTTCTTAACCTATTTAACACCCGCTTCTTCTCTCATTTTCCTAAAAAAAAACAATAGAAGAAAATAAGAGATCCTTAACCCCAAAAAAAAATTGAGAAGACTAAGAAAGTTTTTAAAAAACCAACTTAATCTTTATTTGGGTATAACTTCCACTGGGATTGACTTTCATTATTGCTCGTCATTAACACTTTTAGGTATTTCCCTAATCAATTTGCAATGTAATTTTATGAGCTTACAAATAATGAAGTATGTTCTTTTTGTTTGATTAATTATTTATGTTAATCTTTGTCTAAATTAAATAATTATGTCTTGATATTATATTTAATTATGTTTTATCATTAAGTACTTTTTGTCTTATTGTAAATTTGATGTTAGTTGTATTTTTTTCTTATTTTTTATTAGGAAGTTAACACACAGATGTATGTTTGGCTAAAGAAAAGTTTTCTTTTTTAATTTAAAATGATCCAAAATCCTTTATATATATAGAAAAAACAAGAAAGAACAATAAGAGATGATTGGTTTTTTTAAAAATAATAATAACAATTTTTTTATATTTATTTTTTACAGCAATTTTTTGATCCATTAATTACTTTTTCGAATTTTCTTTTATTCAATACCTTCATTTGTTTGGTTATGATCCTTTGTGTGTACGGTATTTTCTAAATAAAAGTAGGTCTTAATTGGGCTACACTTCTAGGCTATAATATTACAGTGATCAAATTTTTAAAAATTAGTGACCAACACAAATTTGTTATATCTAAATATTAGGTTTACCGAAACATGGGTCAATAAAACAACTTGCTAGAATCATGGGATTGTGGGGTGCCTCACACATTCTTCTTTGTTTATAGAATTTCTTACACGATATTTTATTTTGGTAGGCTAAGAAATAAAGAGTTATATCCTTTTTAATTAGAAATTCAAAAGGTTATTTAAAATACTAAAAAATTAGGGGTGCACCTACTATTTAAATGAAAAACCCTACCATTAAACCCATGATTCTTTCATTTATATTCTGTGCATTAACCAAGAGCAAAAAAGGGGCCACCTACTTTTAGTGGTGCACCATCTTGTTACAAGTTTGGTTTATGGAATATCTCTATCATCATAATCATGCGCCAAGATTGAATGCTAACTGGTCTAATTATGCATCCATTTACAAGGATAGGGTAGCAAATGTTTATTTTCCAAAAAGGATTCAAGAATGTAAATAAAAACTCTCAGTGTTAACTTTTGATGAAATTGTTTGTAATTATCATTGGTTCCTAGTAAAGGAAGTCATTTGCAAGTCCTATTTTTTGTCACCCAAATTTAACCCTCATTTCTTCAAATTACATTTGTTTGAGCTTTTAAGTTAAATATTAGCTTTTCTATTCAATCCCTATTACATTTTCGACTTGCTACTACTACTGTTATTATTATTATTATTATTGGTCTTTTGGTCGTCACATTTTCACTTAGAGTTAGTAATAAAACTACTTTTAACTTTATATTGTCATCATCTTATTTCAAATTTCTTACTTTTAAAATTAGCTATAAGTCAATATTTTTTATCTATATTTTATGTTAGTGTAAAGTCGTAATATTTTTTCAATTATTAATTGTTATCATATCATACATATTATACTAGTAGATAAATTAGAAGCTCCAGAGAATTATTTAGCATAAAGAAAACACCCAGAATACTTTAACAATTGACATGAAATAACAACCCAAATCTGCCAAGAAGCTCCAAAACAATGGCCCAAACGTAGCAGCCCAAAACTCCATCAACACTTTTATATTTAAAATGATTTTAATTTCCCATTAGCCACAACTTAACAATCTGAAATACCCTAAATGCCCCCTATAGTTTTAAATCAATTAGGGCTTCACTTTCTTACTGATAAAAAATTCCTAGTAGCCGTACTCTCTCCCTCAACTCTTTTTTTTATTCCCTTCCATTTTAGAAAAAGCAACAAAGCTTGTCAATCATGGACAGTGGAAAGTTACTCGACTTACATGCTACTTTCTTCTCCATCACGTGAAGCTTACAATCCTGTCCAAAACCTACCCCAACGTTCACTGTCTTTGACGAATTTCAAAATTTAAATTCAAAATCCCACCCAAACTAAGAACCCTAGTTTTTTACTTCTATAGTTATTAGAATTTGGAATCCATTCGAACAAGATTCAGCCGCTTTCTTCACCCAAATGATTGATAATACCTTTATATTTCTTATAGCTTTGTTCTTCTCTGTTGGCTCTAACGACAACAAAGACATTGAATTTTAATCCACTCGAGCGAAACTCGTTTTCATTTGCATAAGGACCCTAGTTCCGCAGCTCAAAGACCCCTTAGTTCACTGCTCCACAAAAGGTAAAATATGAAAATATTATATGTTAGTTTATCGAATTCTTTACATTAAGATATGCAATGGTGTTTTGTAAACATGTTAGAAGCCATTCTGTTTCATGTTTAGTTTTCTATTCTATTTTACCCCATCATGCACATGCCTCTATTTAATGTAATAAACTAGTAAAAATATCCGTGCTTTAATATTACAGAATTTATAAAATAATACTTAAAATCTATCGGTCATTAATACTAAAACTCTGTATTATCTTACACACAAGATTATGTATTTAGAAACATTAACAATGTAAAGGAATGTAAAAATTATTACATCTAATCATTTATCCTTAATAACATAGTAAATTAAGGATTGTAAGGATCTGTAACATAAGCAATGATGTTTGTTAGCCACTCAACAAGAGCAAGATACATAAATATTTGATTATAAAGAAGAAGAGGTTCAAAATTTTCGTTTTTCTAAAATGATAGAAAAACTCTCTATTTATAGACAACAAAGGGCAGTGTAAACCAATATTTATTGTGTCTTATAAGAAGTTGTAAGATACAACCCTTCGGTAATCTCACAACCTTTCATAAAAGTGACAACTTTTCATAAAAGTGACAACTCTTCATTAAAGTCACAACTTTTCATAAAAATCATAAATTTTCATAAAAGTCGCAACTATTTATAAAAGTCGCAACTCTTTATATAATTCGCAACTCTTCATAAATGTCACAATTTTTCAAAAAAATCACAACATTTTCATAAATATCACAACTTTTTATGAAGGGTGAAGGTTAGTTTTGGAAATAAATAAATTTGAAGATAATTTTTGTTTATGGTGGCACCACGTAGGCATGCCTAATGTTCTCTTTTATACAATAATATGGTATGATAGTCTAATTAAGCTATGTAGAAATTATTACTTAGACTTATTCTCTTGTAATAATAAGATAAGATGTTTGTATTTTTATTGCAAGAGAACTATTTCCTTTTTTTTTTTAAAAAAAAGTCTTCTAATTATGAAGTCTGGATAGTTATATATTCAAGTAAAAAACTTGAATCCGTGACTTTAAGTCCTATTTTCTACGTTTTATTAATCGTACAATTAACTTTTAAGGGAGAATTTCTTAAATAAATAGAAGGTTTCCATGTCCCAACAAATATCAAATCTTCCTCTTCTTCTTCCTCCTCTCTTCCTCCACCTCCTCATCCTTCTCCTACTCCGGTTCCCGCTTCTACTTCTTCTCTTCCTCCTTTTCCTCCTTCTCCTCCTTTAATCCATTTTATTGTATTTGAGGCTTAAAATAAAGCAACTCTTAAGGCTATACATTCAAAAAGTGAAATCTTATTAAATTGAAAATAAAGTGAACTCTTATTAAAGTGAACTCTTAAGGCTATACACTCTTAGTGTGTGTGTGTGCGTGTGTGCGTGTGCGGGTCCGTGTGCGTGTGCGTGTGTGTGTGTGCGTGTGTGCGTGTGTGTGCGTGTGCGTGCGCGTGTGCGTGTGCGTGTGTGTGTGTGTGTGCGTGTGTGTGTGTGCGTGTGTGTGTGTGTCACAATGAGGACACAAAGACGTGTGATTTTTTTTCAGGCTAAAATTTTGCTTGAAAAATTCGAACCAAATTATATAAATCAATTGGAACATAAAAAAAAAGAAAAAAAGGTTAACTCTCCTAGAAATTTTTGGTCGTATGAGGACTAAAAAGGCAAACAAAAACAAAGATAAGGTGGAATTAATGTCTCTTGATTCATCTACATCTAATCTTGTGGAATCTTCATATACTGTTATATTGACAAGTCCAAAGGCAAAAAGAAGAAAGTAATGAAAAGAGGAAGAAGAAAAAAATCACTTTAATAAGTCAAAGAGTCAAATTAAAAAATTTAAGGGTCCTTATTTTGTCTGTGGAAAGCTTGGTCACAAGGTTAACAAGTGTTATAAAAAAAGGGCAGAACTCAATGCAGGAAGGTCAAAGTAATGTTCAAGATCATCTTCCTAAGGGTAATAAAGTGATTTTTTTTGTAGTCATTGAGGCAAATATAGTGGATAATAAAACCGACAAGCTGCTAGATACAGGTGCTTTAAGGAATTTCCATGACAATAAGGTGTTGGTCTATGAATTTGTGAGGAGTCCGTGGATGGAGAACATATTTATATGGGTATCTCCAGACAACTAGATTTATGGGTAAAGGAAAAGTTTAAAATTAACCTTTAAAAAGTTCTGTCGTTCAACAATGATTTGTATGTGACCTCCCTCCGCAGGAACCTCTTTTACGGAGAACTTCTCAATAAAATAGGTCTTAAACTTGTTTTTGAGGTTGACAAAATAATTATTTCTCATGGAGGAGAGACTTTGTTAGGAAGAGATATCTTAGTGGAGACCTATTTGTACTGAACATTGTTCAAGTGATTGTCAAAAATACAAGTATTTCAAATTCTACTTATATTGTTGAGTTTATTAATTTATGGCATGGTAAAATAGGTCATGTTAATATTTCTTCTATTAAAATAAAAAAAATAAATAAATTTAGATGATAAAAACTGATAATTTTTCTAAATGTCCCGTGTGTAGAAGAAAAGCATGCCAAAAAAACCTTTCAAAATTGTTAGTAGTAGAACCATTGAGTTGCTTCAACTAATATAATCACATTTAGCAGATTTCAAGATTACTTGTAGCAAAGGTGGAAAAAAGTATCACATTACTTTTGTTGATGAATTTTCTAGATACAATGAGATATATCTTCTTAAGTCTAAAGATGAGTCTGAAAGCATGTTTAAATCTGGTAGGACCGGTGAATATAATACTAAAACTCAAGAGGATTTTTATGAGAAAAATGATATATACATGGGGTTAGTGCTTCCTATACATGGGGAGATGAAGTCTTGTTTGCATGCTGTATTCTTATAGGGTCCCTCATAAGTAGTTAGACAAGACCTCATATGAGTTATGGAAAGAGTTTGCCCCTAACTTGAAATTTCTAAAAGTATGTGGGTGTTTGACTAAGGTTGGTCTACCTGATTTTAACTGAGTAAATGTTGGTTCAAAGACATCCGATACTGTCTTCATTGGTTATGCACAAAATCGTAATGCATATATATTTATTTCTATAAGTGATTATTATATTTTTGAATCAAGAGATGCAAAAGTATTTGAGCATCCTTTGAATTATAACGTTCCGAGTGATGTACAAAATGATGCTTCTACATCTATCTTTTAATTATTGTGTTGTATATTATTCTAGTGTTATTTCTAATGAGCATGAAAATGAACATAGAAGGAGTAAAAAAATATGGATGAAGTCTAGTTTTGATCCTGATTTTATCACTACTTTCTTAACTGTAAATTTTGTTATTAATGTTTTAAATGATGAAAAATTGTGTATATATTTAATAGAAGAAAACCTCAAGACTTATGATGAAGTAATGCAATAGAAAAATGTGACATTTTTATAAAAGTCTATTAAAGTGAATTAGATCCTAATTGTTTCAATTTAATTTTTTTGACGTATTTCTATTGAGAGTCTTTATGATCCTAGCATACAGTTGAGAAAGATTAAAGAATATAGTGTTTCTCAAACTGAAAATGCTAAAAATGATTAGGAGTTTAATATTTCTCATGAACTACACTCGGCCTGATATAGCTTATGGTGTTTGTAGATTGAGTACATATATTCATAATCTCAGTAGTGAACACTAGATGCTCTTCATCGATTGCCAAGGTATTTGAAAACTATGAATTGGTGTTTGTATTTTAATAAATTTCCTCTTGTTTTGGAAGGGTTTTGTGATGCACATAAGGTAACTGATAAAGATGAAGTTATCTCCAGTATTGTCTTTGTGTTTACTTTGGGTACAGGTGCTATTTCGTGGAAGTCCTCCAAACATACTTGTATATCACGTTCTACCATAAAATCTGAATTCATTACTCTCGAGTTAGCATGTGAAGAAGCTGAGTGGTTGAGAAAGCTTTTGGCAGGTATTCCCTTGTGGGGAAGGCAAGCTTTACTAGTATCTTTTCATTATGACTCATAGGAAGCAATAGGGATTTCCAAAAATAGTGTGCACAATGGAAAAAAGTGACATTCACATTAGACATGGTGCAATTAAATAGTTGTTCAAATTTAGTGTTATTTCCTTGGAATATCTGAAGTCCAAAAGAAATTTGGCGGATCCTATGATCAAGGGCTTGGTAAAAAAAATATTCCTTGAAACTTTGAGGGGGATGGAAATAAAGAGCATTGGTTAAGGTAGTCTGGTGGACCCGTTAGGCCTCAATATACACTACATTATCTATCCCTATGGTGTGAGGAGGTTTTTTTTATATGTTTGAGATAATTTTGATGTTAATGATTCAATAACCTTAAGTTGGTATATTTGAGATAGCCTTGATGGAATCACCTACGTGAGTGTAAAGGTGTTGTCGCCATTTCTTGAAGACTTGGGTTGTTTGTTTGGAGCTCTCATAAAGACCCAAGGTGTGTGTGAATGACCATAAAAACACTTAGTTAGGATTGGGGAGTTTGAATAAAATCAAGGATATGGTATGCATTGTGGGAGTCTCAACTTATGTCAATTTGGGTCAAGATTTCTTCACTTTATGGACACATATTGTTGCCTCATTTCACTATATGTCAGTTCAAATAAAAAGATATTGATACTTTAGTACTCGTTCCTATTTTTCCCCAGAAATTCTTCTTCTTCTTTATCTTTGTACTAGTGGGGGATTGCGATATTATTCCTTATTATTTAATGTAAAGCATAAGTTACATATGTAAATTCTCCATCACTTATCAATGTAAACATTGCTAAGTCGTTAGTATATGTGAAATTGGAGAGTTACTTCAACATTAACGGCTTGCATTTATTTCAAGTATCATTTTGTTAACTTCATATGAATATATAGGAAGCATTCAAAGGACATGAAGTTACTGTACATTATGAGAAATTTGTTATAAGAGTAAGAGTAATGTTTCATTATATTAATTATGTATTAGTTTCTTACATTCTTTTGATGGATGAAAACATTAATGATTTTCCTAGTCAAGGGGTATCATTTGGGGAGATAAATACACATTTCATTTACTCGCTATTCTACCAATTCCTTTATTGGCTTAAATAATATTTATTCCTATTATAGATTCCTTGGCAATTGTTTTTGTGCAACTCCAAACTTTCAGGCACGAGTGCACGCATTTGAGAGTAATTGTGGAACCTTGGAGAGCGACCGACTACAATGGTTTGCACCGAGTCGTTCAAAAATCACTTTCAAGGGAATGTCTTAGTGTTTCTGATAAGTTAGTTACTACTTTATAATTCTAATCTAATATCAATATTGTAGTAATTTTAACAATACTTTCATTTACAATGACTTTGTGTAACCTTTTTTTGATTTTCACTACCAACTTTCTCTAAAACACTTTGATACTAAACATGGGGTTTGTGCAATTCTCATTTACGCTCTTTCATTGTTTATGTCTTCTTTGTTTTTCTTCATCCATACCTCATCCTTGCCGCAAAGATCAAAGTCCCGGTCCTCTAAAATTTAAGAAAATGCTTACTGTAGATCCCTAATTAGTTTTCTGTAGTTACTCTTATCCTAAATCGAGTTCGTGGAACGTGAAAAAAGATTTGCTGCTCATGAGATGAGATGACTGGCCATATCACTGAACATTAAAAGTTGCAGCAATTTTTAAATAGAAGCCTCTTCCAATTCTCTCATCTCCAAAATCTTAACTTCTCTTATATTCACTTCTGTAATTGTCGGATATAGTCAGTTAATCAGTAGATCTGATATATTTGAACAATAGAGCTTTAATGTATACTTAAACACTACATTCACACTATCAATCCTTTACTATCTATGGTTCTCACAGTTTTTTTTTGATTCAGTTATGAACACCTCTAAGTTTTTTGAGTTTATATTGAATGGACTTTTGCAATCATCCTCTTTTAAGATGATTACATTTGGTACTCACATATGGGATTCCTTATTGTGTCATTGTGTAAATACACTATTTGGTAAAATCTGCCAAACCTAGAGTTAATTAAAAATAATATTAAGCTTTATCAACTCATTAAATACTCTTAATGTTTTATCGTTTTTCCTAAATGTTGTCTTCACCACAAGAATGGATTAAGTTATTTAACAATCTTAGACTATCAGTCGCAACTTTGTTTGATCTCCTTGAACCTAAATCTTGGGATCTCCAGTTTTTTTAAGTAGAGTTACCCCTATGATGACTTTTCCTAAGCCTTAAATCCATTGCCTTAGAAGATTTACAAACCTCTCTCTACTGAGGATTTTTTAAAGTGGATCTGAGGATTTCCCTTTTGACTTCACATAGTCAATTATGATAATTCTTCTAGATAGTCGTCAATTAATGATATTATGTCTAATTCTTATATTATGAGACTTTGTCATGACCCAAAAATCGTTATGATTAGCACCAACACTTCCAAGCCAGTGGGAGAACCACTACTGCTATCCAATTAAAGTAATTATCCTAAAACTAAGACATTTTAGTTACAAAAGCAAGTTAAATGACTAAAAATGAAATATCTAACAACTCAATTTGCGGAATATAAACCTAATATCAAAAAGTCAATGCACCAAACTATTAAATGATACCCATGTATAAACATGAGAATACTATTGTAATATTCAAGTAACTAAACAAAAGGTCTAAGTCAGGAAATGATGGACATAGACTAAAGAGAATCTCATGGAAGCCTAGACAAAATGACTCACCCTTGAATTCAGTCACGATCACTGATCTCTTAAGAGAGGTATGCCAGTAGCTGCTTAAAGATGCCCGGTACTCGACAAAGATTAGAGAAAGTGTAGAATCATTACACCATCAGTGTGTACTGGTAGGATCATGTGGATACACCACTAGTGCAATATAATCAAGTAAACAACATTATAAACAAATGCATATATATCAACATATTAAACATCATCATCATAAAAATCAGGTAAAATACACAAGTACACCCTCAACCTATGCTCGAAATCACAGAGACACAGTTATACTATACTTAGGTCTTGTTAGCCCGTTGAACTTATTTAATAACTAATTTTCTACCGCTTTTAGGATTATGTTGCACTAGCTTAAAAAAATCAACTAGCATTGGGCCGACAAGATAGTGCCATGTAGACCGAAAAAGGGTAGAAAATTATTAATAAAATAAGTTCATGAGGGTAATAAGATATTAGTATAGTATAAGTGTGTCTCTAAGATTTCGGGCATAGGTTGAGGGGGTACTTGTGAATTATCCAAAAAAATGAACACGACATTTCACATATTTCATCACATCATTAGTCCTCTCACGAAACTTAAACCTAAACAGTTAGCTTGTCGGAACGTGTCAATTCGATCCAATAGTTGTGCCAGAACGTGGCAACCGATCCAATATTTGTGTCGAAACATAGTAATCCGGTCCGATAATTTTTCAGGAGCGTGGCAACTCTATCCAACTTAGCTTGCAAAAATGTGGCAATCCGATCCCCAATCACACACCACAATGACAAATCATACCACATCATAACGATCATACATTTAAGTTATGATTTCATGGTATCAACAATTCACAGATCTCGTTTTTAACAAATGTGATCGACATTAAAGCATGCATACACATAAACATATCATAATGAAGCACGAACGAGCATATATAACGCATATCATAGAATCACAACCATCACCTACCTTTAAATAGGCTTGAACCCTAAGAGACTTGATCCTTCCCTTTCCAGATTTGTTTCGCTTGTTCGTGGACTATAAACAATCGATAATACACGGGAATCAATAGAAAATCACTTTTCACCCGGATTACTAATAATTATATGAACCCAATATCAAATCCATGATTCCAAGTAGTAAATTAAGGGTTAACTTATACCATAGAATCTATAAAGAAACCGTTCCCCATAAATATGACTAATTTTATTACGTTTTACAAATCAAAAAGTAAATTTTAGGAGTGAAAAACATATCTTTAGCTTCAAGAATGGTGGAAAAAAGGTTAAAATAGCCCAACGGTTGACCTTAAGTTCTAAAAGTAGAAAAGTGACAAATAATAACGTTTAGGGGATAAATTAAAGACTTAATTCATGCTCATCCCGATGAAGTAGCGTCGAACTATCGAGACTCCCGGTGGAACTACGATTGTTAGGTCCCGTCTCGTCCACTACAACATCACCTATCCTGCTGTAGTCGTTGCAGCGGCATACTCCAGCTACAACGGCACAAATCGGGGTAGAACCTTTTTAGGAGAATTTCAATTCCCCCTTTTAAAACACACTCTTAACCCACAATACTAAAAAAAAGTTCCCTTAACGGAAAGATCGATCCCCAAAGATCAATTTGTCCAAATTTAATTTCACAAAGTCTTACAGATTCCTTAACGAGTTATGTATTCATTAATGCAATCAAATCAATATTTACTCCACCCGGTTGCTACCAAATTTCTCTAAACTTTGATGACTCTGATTTCCTCCAACTCTGGACAAGGTTGGGAAAACCCTAATACTATGAAAAAGTTTTTTGGCCCCGATTTTCCTTCGTTGGAATTCCTATAATGGTGGAGCTCGATCGTTACAATAAATACCAATTTACCCATCACTCGTCCCCAAGTGACAAAACTTAACAAAAGGAGGCTAAAGAAAGAGAAAGTATTACCTTATTCAATGAACAATTGTGGAAAATTATCTCCCATGTCCTTCTCTGTATTCCAAGTAGCTTTATCGATTGGATGATTCATCCAGCAAACCTTCATGGACTTATTTCTTTTGTCCCCAACTTACACACATACGATCAAGAATAGCAATCAGTTCCTCCTCATATTGGAGGTCTTTATCTAGAACAATTGAATCCAACTTAACGATATAGTCACCATCACCGTGATATCTCTTTAACATAGATACATGAAATATGGGATGTACTACAGATAAATTAGAGGGTCGCACAAATCTATACCCCACCAATATTATGCATTCAAGAACCTTAGAGGGACTAATAACGCAACTAAACTTACCTTTCTTACTGAATCTCATCACCCCATTCATGGGTGATACCTTAAGAAGAAAATTTCTCTAGTATGAGACGCAATGTTCCTCACCTTATGATCTACATACTTCTTTTGTCTACTCTGAGTGGCTAGAAGTTTAGCTTGAATGCTCCTCATCTTATCTTGAGCATCATTCACTAAGTTAACCCCCAAAGGTTCCACACCTCCAGCCTCAAACAAACTTATGAGTGATCTACATCCCATATAACTCTTCAAATGGTACCATATCAATGTTCGAGTTATAAATATTATTGTAAGAGAACACATATGGTAAGAACCTATCTCAATGCCCTCCAAAATCAATCACACAAGCTTCTAATATGTCTTCCACCACTTGAATAGTCCTTTCCTATTGTCCATACATTTGGGAATGAAAGACTATACAAAAATGAGATGCGTGACCCATTCCTCATGTAACTTCCTCCGAAACTTGAAGTGAAGGAGGTACCATGATCTAAGATGATAAAAAGGGTCACCTCATCAAACTTCACTATCCCCATTAGATAGATTTTATCTAATTGTTACACATTGTTATCTACCGTTAACGGAATAAAATGGATGACTTAGTCAATGTATCAACCACAAACCAAATATAATCAAACTTTCTTAAGGTCTTGGGGAGACCAACTACAAAATCCATGACTATTCTTTCCCACTTCCACTCCTAAATTGACATTCTTTGAAGTAAACCTGCAGTCCTTTGATGTCCATACTTCACTTGTTTACAATTGCAGCACTTCACCACGAACTCCACAATGTCTTGCCTCATGCCTGCACA